AGTTGGTATGGCCTGTCCTTTAATTTACTGGCATCCATTCGCATAACTCCCATAACTCGACTCCAGTTTGTGGACAAAGCACCCTCTGGGGGCATAAAAATCGATTGGTTTTGTCCTATTCGTTCGTTAACCAGCGCCTCTGTTAGGGATTGCATCGACGCTGTGGAAACATTCGGATCAAGTAACATAAGAGCAGTCGGTTGGTCGTAACTGTCTACTTCGATACCAACTACAACAAGGCTGTGACCTTCATACTGAAGATATACAGGTAGCGTTTGAACTGTCGGTGTAGTTGACGATCCGGAGGTAATCAATGATAATTTAAAGTATTCTAAGAGATGTTTCAGAAGATTTTTCTGATAACCGTCCTTTTGGTGCGACTCTGGACAGTCCACGATACAGCACTTCACACCGAGATAGCCTAGAAGAGCAGCCACCTCTGTTCCGCCCAGCCAAACAGTGCTATCGCACAATGGATTTGCAGAAGACAATATGTCTGCTATCTGACTGCGACCCACGGGGTCAAATCCACTTTGCCACGCTGATTCCAGCAGAGTTTGCAACTTCCAGATTGAAGGCATTGCTGATATGGAACCAAAAAGGCGTTCTCGATAAACAGGCAAACGGAACAACGCAGAAAGGATAACCTGAGTGTTTCGATATGAACAAGCAAAAGTGCGCTCCCATGCTTCAGATGCAAAGTGGTCACAATCAACAGACGCAAAGTACCAGCGTCCACGGAATAAACTGTCGTGGTAAAGACTTTTAATGGTGCCTAGTATACTTTCAGTTTTTGTTGCACCAGAGTCTATTCCAAGTCTGATTGCTTCGGCCAACTGATGTCTTCTTTCGTGGTATTCGATAAGGGTTAAGCTACCATTGGCAAAATTGTTTTCAAGCCATGATTCGGCAAGAGCTCGTGCTGAATGCGGTCGTGAAACCCCATTCATAGCCACAATTTTAAAAAAAATAAAAGCAATTTCGCTTGTGCCGGTGGTCAGCAGCACCTAGGCGGAGCATGTAAACAAAACTGGATCACATCGCATCAAAGACAATTGGCCAAACCACTCAAAAGACCGCGGTAGCGTGCAAATTCAAATCAGTGTAAAATTTTACCGGTTCAGTTTATGAAAGAGAACTTCCAAAAAGCGAAAAAATAACCGCCGAATCCTGAATAGTGGTGTCCATCTGGCGATCACTAACTAAATACTATTTGGTTCAGCGTAAAAATAAAAAGGG